CCACCACCACCACCACTACCACCACCACTACCACCACCACCGCCAACACCGAAACCGCAGCTCCCGACCTATCCTGCTTACGTTGTCATCGCGCTTTCACCTCACGCATTTGCTCTGTGACTCACTTGCGAATCCATCCCACAGAGACTGGCAAACAAGTACCATAAGCACCAAAATACATCGGACGCCATCGCCCCCACTGCTCACACAGTCCCCGCCCACATGCATTTCCACGGAAACCTGCGGTAGAATGCCGCCGGCTACACCATACCAGCACATCTCTCCTCGCCAGCACTTACACGACAAATGGCCCCACCCAATATCACGCATCGTAAGCACATCATTGACACTTCTCGCGTAATTTGGAAGTGTTCATCGGCTCTTTCATCGTATGGTTCTATGCATATCCTCCGGCGCGGTATTATGTCGCCCTCCGATCTAATAGGGGGGGGAGGTACTGATGTGAGGTACCGGACTAATTTACCGTTGACAATTTAGTCTCGTTTTCTTTGCCCTGATTGCTTGTTTGAATGTGACGAAAAACAACACATCTGAAACAACCCCTTTTGCTAGCCCGCTTAGCTGTCGCGCTCTGCTGTCAGGTTACTTAACGTTCCGAATATCTATATTATTTACCGGTCGATTTTACTTGCTGCCTTTAAAGCTAAGGTTCCGTGAGATTTAACGCGTTATTTCGTGAGAACATTACCATTTGCATTAGTTCCACTGCTGGATGTGTGATCCGAGCCTGATACTGTCACGGTGTGCTAAGCTCAATGATTTGGAACGTTGACAGTTGGTAATAGAATTCGGACCTCGCGGCCGGCCCGATGTGTGTTGGTGCGGAGTGGCCAACTGGTGGACAGAGTCGGGCTGCAATTGCTCCTTCTTAACGTGACTTCTGGCACTCTCATGCATGTAAGGTACATGTTGCCTACCCCATTTTGTGTGAAGTCCTGGTTCTTGCGTTTCGGGGGTGGAGGGGCAGGTCGTGTATGTGCCACGCGCAGACGAGGTCAGTAGTTATTACCAGTCACTGTACCACATCAGACAACTGACCGACTCGAAGAGTGGCCAGTACCCGGGAATGAGAATAGCGGGTGAGGTCGACGACTCAGCGAATTTTCTTCACTTTAAACAATCTGACGCACTTGGCGCTATTATAGTGCGCTAAAGGCCGTGGCTCAGAAGGTTGTCAACTGAGGGGATAACTCGGACCTCGCAGTCAGGCTGCAATGGTTCCTTCTTAATGCGGCCTTTATGGCAGTCCCACTCTGTAGGAGTTGAGTCGCCCCTGCCTTCTCTTACTGTGTGTAAAATCCTGGTCAAGTGTTTGTTGTGGACCAGGAGGTGTGGTGGTAAGCCTAGATGCGGGTTTACCCCGTGCCAGCCACCTGCGGCCTCGTCCCTTTTTCAGCCTCCTTGACTTAGTCATGACACCGGATCCAGGTGGGGGAGGAGAGAGGGCAGTAGGTGCTGCGCAAGTCTACTATCACTATAAACTAGCTCGTGCGCAAGTCAACATTCGTGTCCTCACTCTTTTCTGGAGGACATGGTGGAAATAATCGAAACCGACGGTCTGACTGTCACACTGGAACCGCAGACAACTTTGGAAATTGTCAACCTTGTAGTGTAGGACATACTAATAATGCTAATTTTGGTTCATTATAAGTTTGCGTATTATTCACTAAACTTAATGATTCTCTCCACTTGTCCAGAGTGCGCACTTACAGGTCGGCTTCTAGGTAGCACATTACACTGCCTTTCGGTTGGAGTGGACAATACCTAACCTGCCTTTTTGAATAACATCGGTGTCTAACCTGACAAATTTTCTCCGACCGAATTTGCTGTAATTTGAGGCACTACTTTCGTGGATATTATAAAGTGCCAGTTTTTTTAGTTCTGCTTTCAGTCTGAAAGCCATAACTGTTTTTTTAAACAGTATACACAAGCTTTTTTCATTAGAAAATTCCCCACTCATCTTAGGATAGCAGCTTCGCATAATATAGTCGTTACTGTGTCACACGTTAATCATTTTGGAGAAACGTCGCTGTATAGGTTGGCACTTAACTATTTAACACTTTGATTTGCAGTTTCTTTCGAACTGCGATTCTAGTAAGTATGCTTGATTTTGTCTCCAAGGCAACTGTAGTTACACAAGTTTCATTTATCTCAGAAGGTGTATTGATCTTGTCATCTCTCTTTCTCTCTCTCGTGCTAAAATTGGTAACAAGGTGGTTCGACAAATGTTCACAACTTTCCGCCGAGTTTCAGGATTTAAATAGCAGTTAGTCTGTCAAACTCGTCAAATAAATTCAACTTAAGGAGTTTCTCCAATTCATTTTGGTAAAGAACGAGAAGCAAAAATGCGCGATCTCTTGTCCCGTTGTCCAGATGCAGAGCTCAGACGTTCAGAGAGAAACACATTTGGCTCAGTCAAAAGTCTTCTGGCAACCCACGTAAAAAGGCTCTCCATCCAGGATACTGACGCGTACTGACATTTGAGTTTGGGACACGGCAGACTGGTAACAGCAAAGAATCCAACAGTGATCCTTCCAGCGTCCCTTTTCGTTGTCGACAACACTTTTCGATTACGGATGCCTCGTCGCTAAGCGACTGTCAGCAAGGGCTCCAGATTGGATTTGCAAGGCAACACGCAGTAGCCCGTGTTCTGTGCTGCAATCAAAATGTACCAGTTTACGCTGCTCTCGTACAACTAAATATTCCTGATCGCAGCTATCCGGATTCGGGTCCACGGTTCTCCTGGAGGGTCATTTGACCCTTATGCTTGATGAGACAATTGATCTTGGCCCAAATCTCAAGTCTTTCTGATCTGAGGTGGGGGCATAACTGATTGATGTCAGTAACATATCCTGATCTCTTAGACAACAGCATGCTCAGTGCTTCCACACCCCGAGCAAGTGCCCAGACTACTACTTCAGCCGCAGACTTTATCGTTGCATGAAAGTGTCAAAGTATGGTGGGTGTGCTATCTCATGAAGTGTCAGTCGGATTTCTGGAAAGTGTCTTTGGCTAGAAAAGATTCCTTTGGTAGAGTCGTAAGACCAAATGCCGCGCAGCATAATCAAAAAATATTTCAATGAAATCAGGATGCCGACTTTCGAACGAGCTTCTTTTCGACTGCTTACAGAAATTACAGTCTACAAAAATAACTGCCTAATTAGTATGTATTTTTCCTACTTATTCTCAGTGTCCTTATAAATTAAAAAATATTTTGCAGAAAGCATGCAAAAATAGTTTTCAATGTGCTTGGTTGATGGCAAACCACGTCTCGTTCAGATTTTGTACTTGAAGAATGCGTATCTTTCGATTTCAAAAAACTTCTGAGTTCCCGAATAGTCTTGAATCTGGCCTGCCGTGAGGAAAATCGAACATTTAAATGTGCTATTAAAAGACTTCATGTGCGGCTGGTATGTGAATGTGGACGATCTTGTATACTTTACAAGCAGCATTAACTAATGAATGGATGGGTTGCTATATGGGTAGACACTCCACATTCTTGAAAATCTCGTAATCGAAAACTTTTTAAAGGCAAAGAATGCCATTTCCTTGAGCGCAAAATTTGAAGAGGACGTAATCTACTACAAAATATGTAGGACAGGGTGTCTTCCTGCGGATTCATAGGGACATTAAAAATCAATGTAAAAGCTCATGCTACTTTAGCAGTCATTTACTGCAGAGTCTAGTCCCTGCAAGCGGCTGAAAAGAAGCTCGTTTAAAAGTCGACATCCTGGCGAGTCTGAAATATCTTGCGGCCATGCTGCAAGACAATTAATCTCACAGCCCTACTTGAACAATCTTTTCGAAGTGAAACACACTTCAGAACTTTGGCTAGCATTTCATAAGATAGCACATATACTTTATACTCGCGAAGCAGAATCTGCGCATTAAGTAATAATTTACCGAAGGGAGGTTTGACACTTTTAACGATCCACTACAGAGCGACCCGCTACTTGAGGAAATTCAATACAACCGTGTGCGAAACCCAGTTTAGTGAGATGTCAAGTCGACCTCGATTACTACAAAAGAACTACTAGCATAAACGTTGTCAAGTAACTGCTTCGAGCAACTAGTCAAAACCATGACAGCAACAAACTACCTCGAAATTATTTAAATTACCAATGAGGGTGGGTCGATTACGACGTAGTTTGCAGTGGTTGGGCTCCAAAATGTTTTTCAAAAGGATATTCAGTAAAGAGTAAACACCCGACCCTGATACGACCACAA